GTTCTGATGATGCCTTATACCTGATCCCTTCGACACCTCGTGGTTGCATAGGCTGGTGTGCTTCTTCCATGTGGGCTTTGTTGTTTCTGAGCTTGATGGCCGCTTGATTACCTTCAAGCCTTTAAGATCCCAGACGCTATACTTTTTGATAGCCGGGCACTATCAGCTTTCTTTACCACATTTGCTTATGCACCCATTTATCTCTGGTTTGCTTTAGAGACATCATTATCATTTTATGATAGAGAACACCATTAATCGTTCCCTGGGGGGGGGCATAATGTAATTCTACTGCTAACGTCATTACTTTTAGCCAATGGTATAGCATGGTATTGCTATTGTGGGTGGGAGGTGCTATTTCATCGTGGTTTGACTGCCATCTCCCAGATGGCTGGTGATCCTGAGTGTTCCCTCATGGGCTTGTTAGCCATTTGAGTGTTGTCTTTTGTGAATAGTCTATTCAGGTCTTTTGCCAACCTTTTCATTGGATTTTTTTTAAATTGGGGTGTTACAGAATTCTGTAGTTAGTCGCATGTCCATTGTAGCATTGCTATAGATTTTTTCCCCCAACCCTTGGACTCATTTTACTTTTCTGATGAAGTCTTTGATGTGTATAGGCGTTTTACTTTTCACAGGTCCTAGTCGTTTATTTTGTCTTACCCTGTGTGTGTCCTTTATGATGTTTGGTAGTCCATGTAAGCCCTGTAATGGGGCCCTTAAGTTTGTGTCCCAATTTTCTCATTGATGATTCATGCTAACATGCTCTATTTTAGAGTTAAATAAAACATTTTACTTTCCCACCAACAAGCCTTGCAAATAATTACACTGACTGAACAAGCTACAAAGAGATCCTACCAAGAGGGAAAAAAAAGCTTTTTGTAAATTCCATACAAACAGTCAAACACTCCACTGGCTTGAACAGTGCTCTCTAGAAGCACATAGAGTAGAATTATCAGAGAATCTGAAGCTTCAGAGAGAAAAATAAGATGGTTTCTGATGACTGAACTACTGGATTATACCATATGTAGATTACCGTATGTGCCAAGATAATGTTTGGGTTTTTTTAGTTTTAGTGGTTTTTTGCTTTTAAGGTGATTTGTGAGAGCAACCTGGCAAGCCTTATGCAAGCAAGGTTTACCTAGCTCTGGGCTCAAACCTAACAATGGTGAGGACGCACAGGAGTGGGCAGTGTTTGCTTCTGCTGTTCACGGGGCCATTTTGATGCGAGCCAACCCAATGGCATCTAACAGCACCAGCATGGCCCTGCCCAGAGGTAGAAAACATACAACCGTTACATTCACATAAACAGACCTCTCCCCCTCCTGGACGCATTAGCACTCACATTTTCTCTCCACAGTCAACCACCTCTGAAAGCAGGTTTCCTCCGACAGAATGTGCATACAGTTAGCAAACGTGCCCGGGTAGCCGTGGGCACTGTGTAGCTCCCTTTCAAAGAGAAGCACCTCATCCACCAAGTGACAAAAGAGGTTGTCATCATAGAGCAGGCAAGGGATGTCAGCACCTAACTTCTCAAGAACCAGCATCACGAGGCCCCGAGAGAATTCCAGCTGAAAGGAAAGCACAATCACAGAGTACACCAAGGGCAAGTCGTCGTGGGTACGGACAACTCGATAGAGGAAGTGCTTGGGGCCGAGTCTCTTACCCTCGCATTCACCAAAGAACCAGCTTTGTCTAATATCGGCTGAATCTTCTCATCCAAAAATTCAGTGTGATTTGCAATCCACATAAGGACTTGAGCCAGGTACCACTCAGGCTAAGGAAGAAGGTAGAATAGTTTGCATCCTTAAAAGTCACCCCAACTAGAAATTAAGTACCATTACAAGCCTCCGTATAGTCCTGGTCAACATACAGCACTCGCAGAGTTGAGGTGAAAGGTCCTCCATATAAAAGCACAATTTCTGCCCTGAACTTTAAACGCACACAAGGCTTCATGTCAAGTATTTCCCAAGATACTCCTAACAAATTCCAACACCATGAGCCAATCCAGAAATTCAGACATTTACCAAGAGCCTAGCAGTTGAATAACAGGAAATGAGGAGTATTACAAAGAGTGGCTGGGCTTTAAATTTTGTATTTTGAAATAGCTTTCAAGATACCATATATTCGAGTATAAGCCGACCCAAGTATCAGCCGAGGCACCTAATTTTACCACAAAAATGGCATTAAAAATGTGCTGAGAAACTCGGCTTATACTGGAGTATAAACGGTAATTTTAAGAGATGTTTCCTCTGCTCACTCTTCTCAAGGGCAAATGAAGGGGAAAAAACGCTAGCCTGAATTACTAAAAATTGCATATGCCCCCAAACAAGTATAAATAAGTAAAACCAAGTGTGCAGCAAGCTAAATGGTCCAGGAGATGATTCTGCAGCAGCTTCCAAGTCTAGTTGACAGCGAGTCAAGGCATTTCCTGTGTGCCCGATGCTGGCAGTACACAGGGGCAGGGCAGCGCTCTGATTCCCAGGGCTGCTCGGTTTAGGCTTGATGACAGAGTGCCAGGCCACTGTAATCACATTTTCAAAAGCAGTGAACATACCTCACAGTCTTCTTCCTTGTGTTCCTACGGCTGCTCTACAACTTTACGCTTACAGCTTGGTCTAAAAGCATTCTCAACCTGTGGGTCGCGACCCCTTTGCGGGTCGAACGATCCTTTCACAAGGGTAGCCTGATTCATAACAGTAGCAAAATTATAGTTATGAAGTAGCAATGAAAATAATTTTATGGTTGGCAGTCACCACAACGTGAGGAAGGAACTACATTAAAAGGTCACGGCACTAGGAAGGTTGAGAACCACTGCTCTAAATAATTGATTCTACTCGCCTTCCCACTACCACTCCATCCCACAAAGTACAAAAGAACAAACTAAATCTGAGAACCAGAAATCAATCGCCACTCTGCTCCTTCCCGTGAAAACTTCCATCGGTCCCCTTGACTCCTTTAGAACTCATGTATGACACACACAGTGCCTCGTGCACCCTGGCACTTAATAACATCCCATTCAAAACACGTACCGAGCCCTGGCACAGGCACTGCAAACCCAACAATACACAAGTTGGTTCTCGCCCTCTAGAAGGGCCAGGGTTCTGATTCTCAACACATTTCACTGGAAGCCGCTATCAGTGATTGTTTGCAGGGAAAGGGAGAGAAACTCTCCATATCGTGTCCTCTCTCGGTGGGAGTCCTTCAACTACCAGGTGAGGTACTTGTGGCCTCCCCTCCCCTCCCCTCCTGCATTTCCACCTTCTCCCTGGCATAGCTGCACATCTTTTCAACACTCTAGTCCACAGTTGAATGCTCACTTATCTTTTGACTCTTTTCTTTCTGATCGATTTATAACCCCGAGGGAACAGTTCACACAGTGGTTCACACTGGTAAAAACTGCCACAACAAACACGACGGCAGGTCGTCGGGGAACTGGGAGAGCCGGCCCTACGAAGGGTGATGATGCCTGCTGCACAGCCACCCGGTGAATTCCTCAGTATGTCTCTGCAAGGGACGGGGGCAGAGCAGGACGTAGGCTTTTTAAGACAGAGAACAGAACTGCAGCCAGACCCAGATTTTAACTTAAACCACCAGGAGAAAGCTTTAGCATCGGCTACTGAAAAAAATCAAAGACACAGGACAGCAAAGCACACCTTGCTTATGACATTGGTCTGCCGGTTCCCTCTGAAGTGATACCTGAACCTCTTCTGAAGAGGAGTCAGCATAACCTGGATGGGCAGGATGACAGAGGAGGCGGCGGGCAGAGAGTACTTTTCCGGGAGCTGTTTAGGCTCATTAAGCAGTTCATCTCTGACAGAATCAAGTCAAGGAAAACCATCAGAAGCACATTTGTGTGCACACACTACAGGTAATTTCCACGAAATAGATCAGATGCTAAGTAAAGTTGGTTAGAATAAAAATAAGACAATCTAAGTTAAGATATGAACGCAGCAAAAAAAGCACCAAAAATGTGATCAATCTCTTTCCTGAGATGATGAAGAACGGTAATACTAAGGAAACAAATTCAAGTAATTGTTTATTACATTAACACTAAATTACTAAGCTTTCCTCCCAGTTGCCTATTTTTTCCTATGATCCCAAGAGACCTAAGTGTGCTGCAAACCTGGGCCCGTCATGGGTTTCAGAGTTGTCCCCAAGCCCTCTCACCCACAGGGCAACACTCACTCTGGGCAGAGCCCAGGCTCCCCTGAGGCCCCAAATCCACTCTAGAGAAAAGATAAGTTAGTAGGTTTCTGTTCGAATAAAGATACGAGGTGTGCAGTTTCAGAAGCTGACAGAACAGTGTCTCCAGGTTAGTGTACGTCTCAGGGGCAGTAGCTGGTCGACTTAAGCCAACAGCTTGAGAATGAGGCGGTCCAATGAACGGCCAGTGAAGCTGTGCTAATATTTCCTCAAAGTCACTGCAACAGAACAGCAGACGAGACGTTTCAGTAAGAGACCTGGATGTCTGCAAACACCCACTGACGCACGTCCCCCGAGATGGGAGTCAGTTGCCAACCTGGTGAGCTTGTCCTTGAGAATTTTGTGCCAGAACTTCACGGTGGCTCTCACGAAGCCGAGAAGGTGAGTGCAGGACGAGTCCTGGAGCTTCCTGTCCAGTTCTGCCATAGACACCAGAGTAGAGGCCGCCTCTGGGACATTGTTGGTCATCAGATATTGCTGGATGTTATCACTGTAAAACGAGACCAAGCACATTCTAAAGAATGCTCCTGAAAAACCACACCAAATCCAGAAAAGTGCTGAGGAAAGTTCTCTCCCAAGAAGCCTGCAGCACCACTCTGACGGGGTTCTCCTCCGGAGAGCCACGTCTGTCTGGGAGGCCGCGGTCCTCAATCGGACTCTTTCTCCCCACTCCTGTCTTGTATCTTGGTGCCTTGGGCCCCAGTTCCTGGTGACACCGTTCTTTGACAGCAGTCTTTAGCACCTTAATCTCAGGATATAATGTGGGGAACACCTAGTAAGGTCAAGTTTGGGAGAGGAGAGAGGCAGAGATGAAATTTCTATTCTTTTTTTCTTTATGGTGGTGGGGGAGGTAGTATTTTTTTTAACCCAGCTATTTTTCATTTATAAAAATAATAATTCCTTAAGTCCGAAGTAAAAGTCTCCTGACCCTCCTATACTTCCATTCCCCAAATGCAACCGTAGTTTTAGAATATCCTCCCAGAGATATGTATCCAACTCTGAGCAAATGGCTCCCGGACGGTTAGAAGTGTTGTGTGTGTGAAGCACACGTCAGTCACTTCCACACATACAATTCAGTAGCGCTGGTCTCATTCTTCAAGCTGTGCCACCTTTCTCGATATCTGTCTCCTAATTGTCTCACCCACCAGATTTCCTGCCCTCAGAGATGCTTATCTTCGTCAGTTTGAGTTCACATAGGTAATTTTAAAAATTAAGCTACATTAGTATTTAGTTTAGTAAGAACGCTGGCAGTGGAGTGGTTCTGCATTGCGCTGCCAACCAGAAGGTCAGCAGTTCGAAACCATCAGCTGCTCTGAAGAAGACAAGGCTTCTATTCCCATAAAGCATTACAGTCTCAGAAACCCACGGGGACAGTTCTACCTGATCCTGTTGGGTAACTACGAACCGGAAGTGACTTGATGGCAGTGAGTTTGTTTTGTTTGGCAACGTTAGTCACCCACCACTGATGTCAAGTAGATTACAACTCATAGCAACCCTACAGGGCAGAGGGGAATGAATTGCCTTGTGGGTTCCCAAGGCTAAAAATCTTTATGGGAGCAGAAAGCCTCATCTTTCTCCCACTGAGTAGCTAGTAGGTTCAAACCACCTATGCCACCAAGGCTCCTGGAGCTTTAAGGAAGAGGAGGTAATTTGAAAACAGATCAAAGATGCAACAGTACAACTGGTCCTCTATGCACCAGAGGTGAGAAAGGTCCTTTTGGCTTATTTGAAAAGCTAATAAGTGACCTTGACAATCTCACAATCGAACCATTTCTCCCCACACTTTCCAGGTCACATAGACAGTGATACATGAAAAATCCTGAAAGACCTAAAACCAGGTCTTCTTTATTTTCTTTTTCGACCCACAGTGAACAGTTATTCAGCTAAGAAAACTAGCGTGTATAGTCCTAACACATGCTTCCCAGGGAGTACATTCATGAAAATTACACAGAAAGCATCTCATTACATGACCATGTCTAAGAAGTAAACATAAATAGGAATGGGCAAAAGGACAAAAGTCAGAGTCAGGAAAGGGGGCCGAATGGAAACAGAAAACAGGAAGAAAGCGGGATATGTAAGGTATCCAGAGGAGACTGCAACGAATGAGAGGGAACAAACTGTGTGGATCACTGAATGTAAAACTAGGACCTGCTCTCGAATCACACACCAAAAATGCGGAGGAATATGGGCACACTGCAGGGTTACAGATTCTTTAACTTGGTATTACGCATAATAGCTCCTATCATGTCCACATTTCAACTATGGGTCTTAATACCTTAACTTGCTGAGATCTTACTTTCTTTCAAATGCAAATTAAGCTCCCTGAAGTTTATGTTCATTCACAATGGATAAGAATCATTGACATCATGCTATTTTCATAACAAGTGGTAAAACTGTGTTATTATAATCTTTAATTAACCCAATTATTTAATGGCACGCATGCCCTCTTTGAAACGGAAGCCTGAGAGTACAATAACCACCATGAGCACAAAGAGGCACACTTTACCTCAGCTCTTCAATCTGTGAGATCCACTTCAGGTAAGCCAGATGCCGCTCGATCTCTTCGATCTGGGTAATCATGGTCCTGAGGTCATCCATCCAGGGCTGGGCAGCCTGCAGGTGGCTGCTGATGGAACTGGAGAGGGTGGCCTCCTGCTCCAGAAGCCGATTAAGGGATTGCTTTGATTCATCAGCATTTTTCAAGGCACTCTGAATTCTTTTAGGGATTTCTGAGGAAATTGTAAGTACCTGACCGTACCAAAAACAACAACAACAACAATTTAGCAACAATCCAATACAACTTTCAAACCAGTATTAATTCATTACCTTACCGTCAAAGTACACATTTGTTCTAATGGAATTGAAAATTGTGTTTGGCAGTTTCAAGCCCCCAGCCAACCTCCCTGGGAGAAGTGGAGGCAGTCTGCTACCAGAAAAATGGGCCATCTCGGAACCCCCAAGGGGCAGTAGGGCCAACATGAGGTCATCGGGTTGCAAAGAGTGGGTGCTGGTCCAGCTAAACTTGCTGGATATGAAGGCACACTGAAGGGTTGACACCCCAACACCAGCAACACCACCTGCCTGACACTCTGCCAGGTTTCTCTGATCCGCTGCAAACTACTACCTAGTTATTTTCCTTCAAAAGTGAGTGGTGCTCTGATTTGGAACCTGGGGAAAAACAGAGGACAATACATCCTTGACTTAAAATGGGTTCCCTCCCTCCCTCTGTACTCGCTTCTGACTTTAGTTTTCATTATTATTGCCTTTTATTTATCACTATCTTTATAATCATGGCCCTGAAATCTGCACATGAACAGCTGAAAATGATCAAATCAGCGAACGATACACTGCAACATAATATGTGGTACATAATCCTAGTAAGATGTTAAAAAACAAAACAAACCTGACAGTTTGTCCTAACTGAAATGCATCCTAAGCCAGAGAATATCTGTATCTGTGTTATAAACCCCCCAACCTCTCACCCCGGCAATCAGGGTTAAGCCCAGGTCGAGACCCAGTGTCTTGGGAAGATCTTAGCCTGGGAATCACACACTGACATGCACACCAAAAGGCATGGCCACTCCCGTTCACTTGATTCCCACTTGGGTGAGTCCAGTGCATCAGAGCAGAGCTGCTCCATGTTTCCTGGCTGTAATCTTCGCAGCAACAGGTCGCCAGCCTTTCTTCCACCATGCTGTTGGATGGGTTCAAACCACCAACCTTCAGGTAGCAGCCAATCTCAAACTGCAGCTACTGCCCGGGACGTACACACCAGATACCCACACCACACGTTGTAGTTGTCCAATAGAAAAAACTATCGAGTCAATTCCACCTCCTAGTGGCCTGGAGGGCCGAGGTGTTTAATCTCGAGGAGCAGATCACCAGGTCTTGTCTCCCACTGAGTCCAGCACACCAAGAACTCACTGCTGCTGAGTTGATTTCAACTCACAGCCACCCTACAGGACAGAGGAGCACCGCCTCATAGGGCTGCCAGGCTGTAACTCTCGCTGGAGGCCGACGGCCGGCCGCAGTTTTCTCCTGCAGAGGCTGAGAGGTTCCCGCTGTTCATCTCTTTTTGGTTAGTAGCTAAGGGCTTACGTCACCGGGGTCCTTATTGCAAGTCTACCGACCTCACTGTTCTCGACTCAATTCTGACTCACAGTCACCCTATAGGACAGGACAGAACTGGCCCTGTGAGTTTCTGAGACTATAACTCTTGATGGGAGTAGAAAGCCTCATCTTTCTCTCACAGAGTGGCTAGTGGTTTCGAACTGCTGACCTTGTGATTAGCAGCCTAACACATAACCACTATGCCATCAGGTCTCCCCTCTGCAAGTAGAGACCCATTTATTATTTTTTCTAAGATTATAATCACTGGTTTAAAAAAACAAACAAACAATTATTTTAAGTGATAATATGTTCATGTAAAAGAAAAACTGGAAAATGAAGTAAAATGTGAAGAAAACAAATCAAATGTTAACCAGCTATCTGGAAATAATCATTATTAAAAATGTTAAATTTTCATGTTTTTCCCCTATGCTTTCATATATAAGAAAAAGTGTTTCATTATAGCGTTTAAACCCTATGAAATCATTTATTAGTCAAAGCACATTAAACATCTCTGTGCAAGTGGTTGCGAGGGCTGGGGGTCGGGGATAAGGTGTAATCGTTTCTGTATTTATTTGTGGCGATGTTTACATGACAGGAAGTGTGTTCTCAATATTATTTCCAGGAGCTTTAATACTTGCCTGCTCTTCTAACTGCATTTTACTTTCTGTCATCTGCTCTATGAGTTTATCAAGTTTCTTTAGAGATTGAAGGTCATTTCCAACTTCCTTTTCTATGAACGCAGACACGTAGAGAGAGAGGTCATCTTTATCTGTACTTTCAGAGACTTGATCACTTCCAACAAGAGCAGCCATGTTCATGTGACCTAAAGTGAAGCAGGAAGAATTACTCAACACGACTGGGAGTTACATACCAAGATAAACCAGATAGTCGAGTTGATCGTTGTCACACATATAAAATACCCAAATGTATACTTACAAAGCAATGTATCAGAGATTGCAAAATGCTTAAGAAGTGAGGAAAGTCTGGGTAAAGGAATGGTCGATCAAGTTCAAGGAATGTTTAGGAAAAATATCTAAAGCCAGATTCAGTAACCACAAATTTCAATAGATGTTGATACGGCAATGCAATTCACAAAAAAAGACCATTAAAACTTCCCAGAAGACCTGCTGGCTTAAGAAGCGATCTTATTATCAGGAGGGGAAAATGTAATCAGATTTTATTGATGCTGCTTTCATTGCACTGGGAATACCTTTTCATAACATAAAAGCAACTCAGTACCAGAGGGCAGAGGCTAGCCTTAAAAAAAAAAAGCTTTCCTGGGTATTGACAGCTAACCCACAGAAAAGGGGCCACCGTGAGTCACGGGGCCTCAGAAAAAAGGGCTGCTGATTTCCTTCCCCAAACCAAGCACTGAAAACCCTGACATACAACTCAGAATCAACTCTAATAGACATCAGAATTTGTCTACAATCACACTTAAGTTTTTCCAAGGTTAAAAAGTATACCGAAATACTTCAAGTAGATGAGAGGTGTTAAGAGTGACCCACAAGTTCAAAGGAATCATCCTTCATATTTCAGAGTCATCATAGTCCATTCTTACTCCATGCTTGAACCTCGATCACGTCCTACATGCCACCATCCATTTCACCCTGAAAGTTCTTCCACTAGTCAGGGTGCTTATGAAAAGATAACGGTTAAATACATTATACCCAATTCTTTATGGAATGAGGCAAGGTTCAAACATACAAATGAAAACTTTCCAACAGCTGCTTAAATAAATACTTAAGAAAACAGATTTCTAGCCAATGTACAGACTATTTCAAAGGCAACAAAATACTTTCCCACCGCCTTAAACTTGGGGTACTCCCTCTGCCAATGTTTCTCACTGCATCTTTGCTGTGGGCCAGGGTGGCTGTCCTGAACACACCCAACACCCGTGGGAATCCAGAGGGCCCTCAGCAGCTTCTCGGCAAGGGAGGGGAGGGGAAACCTGACCTACAGCTGGTCGCCATCTCTTTCTGCTTCCACTCCCCCCAGTGTGCTCAGGTAACCTGTTCCTTCTGAAGTATTTGTTCCCCTGTGTAAGCGATTGTCTTCTGGTCACCCATAGCTTCTTTCTTCCTGGGCAAGTTGAGGAAAACTGACATTTGGGTCAAATTTGTTATAATGGAAACTTCGTTTCCCTGGGCATTCTTAAAATTCCTAGTTTTAAGGAATTTTAAATGCAAAGGTTACTACTTTAGGGAGTAAAGATTGACTTTACTTTTCCCTTTCACCTTTAAAGAAATAATTATGTCTTCTGGATGTAACCATTTAAATGCAGCAGAGTATATTCTTAGTCGAATGACATTTTTCATACTAGCATATTGGTGATTTGGGAGATGTGTGTGTGTGTGTGTGTTTGTGTTTTATAAAGCACACTCGCTTTATGAAACACTCCAAATTACCCAGCAGTTGGCAGAACCACCAAGACAGAGGCAAGGGCAAAGCCTATCATCAGAATCTAACAGGGCAGCTCTGTGGGAATCAAATAGGCCCAAAGGCAGACAAGGTGGGGGGTTGATGAAAAGCTATGGTGCACTCAAACCCGTCAAGGAAAAGCCTTTGAGTTCGAACAGCTGGGACTATGAAGTGCTAGAGACGTAGATCTCGTTCCGAGCTGGATGGGATCACACCTTACATAGGCCACAGGGCATGATAGGGACCCTTTCTCTAATTGCTCCTTATCCTGTTTGCTTCTTTCAGCAAAACCCAAATCCCGCTAATAGAATAGTTGTTACCATGCTTTTCCACTTCATTTCCCAATATATTTCCCTTCAAATTCCTCTGAAGATTCTTTGATTTCTTGCAGGAGAAAGGAAAAGCTTTCAAAGAGTTGCAGTCTTAGAAAACCACAGAAGCAGTTCTACCCTCCCCTATAGGATCGCTGAGTGGGAATTGGCAGTGAGTTTTGTTTGCTGTGTTGAGCTCATGAGAGTAAATGAACAAGCATCTGCATCCCTGACGTAGTCTCCTGTCCTAGGTAGAGAATGGAGGTATTGATCTGCCTGTCCAGGAACCAAATTATCTATTGTTATGCTTTTTGGTTTGTTTGTTTGATCATTAGGGACTCATACAACTCTTATCACAATCCATACATACATCAAATGTGTAAAGCACATTTGTACATTCATTGCCCTCATCATTCTCAAAACATTTTCTCTCTACTTAAGCCCCTGGCATCAGCTCCTCATTTTTCCCCTCCCTCATGAACCCTTGATAGTTTATAAATTATTATTTTGTCATATCTCACACTGTCTGACGTCTCCCTTCACCCACTTTTCTGTTGTCCACCCCCCAGGGAGGTTATATATAGATCCCTGTAATTGGTTCCCCCTTTCTAACCCATCCTCCCTCTACCCTCTCAGTATTGCCACTCTCATCTCTGGTCCTGAAGGGATCATCTGCCCTGGATTCTCTGTGTTTCCAGTTCCTATCTGTGCCAGTGTACATCCTCTGGTCTAGCCAGATTTGTAATGTAGAATTGGGATTATGATAGTGTATGGGGCAGAGGGGAGGAAGCATTTCGGAAATAGAGGAAAGTTTATGTATCATCATTGCTACACTGCACCCTGACTGGCTGGTCTCCTCCCCGCAACCCTTCCGTAAGAGGATGTTTAATTGCCTACAGACGGGCTTTGGGTCCCCACTCCGCACTGCCCCTCATTCATAATGATATGATGTTTTGTTCTTTGATGCACGATACCTCATCCCTTCAGCACCTCATGATTGCACAGGCTGGTGTGCTTCTACCATGTGGGCTTTGTTGCTTCCGAGTTAGATGGCCGCTTGTTTACCTTTTTTTATGCTTTTCTTAAAGCAAATTTTAGTTACACATTCACTGAAGGTAAAGCACAACTAAACAATTACCATGACTATTTTGAGCCCATTTAGAGTAATAGTTCTATATTGTTGTGTGCCACGAACGCAATTCCAACTCGAGACCCTACAGGACAGGGTAGAACTGCCTAAGGGGTCACCCAGGCTGTAGGGAGATCACCAGGTCTCTTTCCCCAGAGAACCGTGTGTCTGAAGTGCCTCTCTTTCAATTAGCTCTTAACCACTCTGCCCCAAGTGCTCCTTCCTAGATCATTCCATACCAAAATCTGATGCTGCGGAGTGGATTCTGATTCACAGTGATCCTCTAGAACAGAGCAGAACTGCCCACCCATAGGGCTTCCAAAGTTAGAATCTTTAAGAAGGCAGACTGTCACATCTTTCCTGAGCAGTTGGGACAGGAGGAGCGGGGTTCAAACCACCCTTCCTATTAGCAACACAGCACTGTAACCACTGCACCACCAGAGCTACCTCCTAGATGATTAAACCAAATATCTCAAACCCAACCCATTGCCAATGAGTCAATTCCAACTCAGAGTGACACTGCAGGCCAGGGGAGAACAGCTCCACAGGGTTTCCGAGGTGGGAATCTTCAGGGAAGCTGGCTGCCACGTGTGCCTCCTGCTGAGCAGCCAGCAGGTCAGAGGGCTGAATCTTCGGTGAGCAGCAGCTCCATGGCTGAACCACTGCCCGCCAGGGCTCTTTGTTTTAGATCACTGTTGTGGATGTCGCTGTTAAGTGCCGTCCAGTTATTCCCGACCCACAGTGCCCTTACCCACAACAGAATAAAACATGGCCTGATCCTGTGCCATCTTCACAATCGTCCTCTTGTTGGAGCCCATTGTTGCAGCACTGTGTCAACCCGTCTCCCTGAGGGTCTTCCTCTCTTTCACCAGTCCTCTACTTTGCCACGGACACTGTCCTTTTCAAGGGGTTGGTCTTTCTTCATAACGTGTCTGAAGCATATGAGACAAAGTCTCACTTTCAAAGAACATTCTGGCTATATGACTTCCAAGGCAGAGTTATGGCATTCCATGGTCTATCCCATATTCTTCGCCAATACCATCATTCAAATGTGTCAGTCCTTCTCCGGTCTTCCTTACTCAATCATGTACAAGATGATTGAAAAGACTCTGTCTTGAGTCAGGCGCACCTTAGTCCTCCGAGTGACACCCTTGCTCTTCATCACTTTAAAGTGCAGCAGATTTGCCCAATGCAACACAGTATTTGATTTCTTGACTGCTGCTTCCATGAGAGTTGATCATGAGCCCCTCCCCCTCCCAAGTTCTTATGCAAAATGAGTAGATAAGGAGCCCTGGTAGCACAAAGGTTGAGCAGTAAGTTGCTAACCCAAAGGCTGGCAGTTTGAACTCACCTAGTGGCTCCACAGGAGAAAAACTTGGTAGAGTAATTCCCTTAAAGCAGCAGTTCTCAACCTGTGGGTCGAGACCCCTTTGGGGGCCGAACAACCCTTTCACAGGGGGTCGCCCAGGGTTGTTCCACTCAGTCACATATGGGTCCCTCTAAGTCAAAATTGAGTAGGATGTCACACTACAGCACCCACAAGCTGATACTTCATTAAATAATTGTGAATTCTGTCTGACAGGCCAGTCCCTGAACAGCGTGGGAGAAAGTGCTCTTCTCCAAGGCAGTCCACGCTTTACAACTTGGGACAGTTATGGGGCCAATATGTGCATAATGATAGTATCCTGTATTACACAACATATTGTGCAGAGAAAAGGCTCCTTGACTAAAAGATAACAGGCCGTGAGACTCCTAGCCTGATGCAGCCCATAGAAGGCTGAGTTTTGGAAGGGAGGTTGGGAGTGGATATAAAGATAAGATATTAGAAGTCTGCTTACTTTTTTCTTGGATAGTCTTCTTTTCGTCACCAGTTTCATGGAAGCACTAGAAGGAGAAAAATGTGACAATCACATTAAGACTCAAGCGGGGCGGTTACAGATCCCGTTCTCAGGGGCCTTCCCGAGGGTCTCCGGTCGTCGATGCTAGGTCCCTGGAAGATCCGTGCTACTTAATAGGGACAAGCCAAGGCCACCTCCTAGGGAACTCTGGGGCCAGTTCGCCGGAGTGCCCACTTCACCGAGGTCACAGGGCAGCCCAAGCCACCTCCCCTGACCACCAGGGCCACCTTCCTGGGGCTACGTCCCCCGGAGATGTGTGCCACCTCACCAGGCTACCAGTGCACCCTCCTAGGAGTCAAGCTCCAAGTAGGCGAAGTGCCTTCTACGAAAGCAGGTCGCCTCACCCGGGACACCGCAGGCTCGCAGACCTCGCCTGCCGGCAACATCCCGCCCGTGCGCGCGTCCTCAGCTCCATGAGCAGCCAGCGTGGCTTGTGTAGTTCTGCAGCCACCGGCGATGACAGAGACACTGTCAGCTTGGCAGCTACGGGGCTGATCGCCACTGTGACTTCCTCTACCCGTCTCGGTGGTGTTTTCCTCTCAACCCAGAGAGGCCCCGTCCACGCAGCCACTGGCCGTGCGCTAGGCCTCCCCCTGCCGGCCGGGGGTGCATCTGCAACTCCGGGCGGGGCCTCGAAAGGAGCGGGGAGGAGACCTCTCAACCACGTTAGAGCCCTCGCCACAGCGTGGGGGCACTTGATTGTGTGCTTGGAATACCGCTCCCCACCATAAGTTCAAGAATGACCTATATTTGCTTCAAATGATATCCTTGATTTTCTGCGTGCATTTAAGAACACAGGAAATCAAGGAACATGCACAGATACCCTGAGAGCATAAGGGGGCTTGTTGAGTTTGAGCTTCAAAGTAACCCAACAAAGTGAGGTTATACAGTTGGGCTGTTTAGTCGGAGAATTTCCAATGTTGGCATCTTTCGACCTTTCTTTTTAAGACTGGCCCCATTCCCAAGAGAGGACCCTTCAATTTCCTGCCGGGGACATGCATGCCGATCGGGTGTCAGCGTCCTGCTAGCTGAGCGGACTCAGCATCTCTGTGTACTTTGTCCAGGTCAGAGGCCCAAAGAAGCACTTGCCCTTTGCCAGGGAGGAGGACGGGGGCCGGTGGGGAGAGAACCCAGGGATCTGAGTGCTTCCTAAGGAGCCCTGGGAGCACAAGAGTGAAGCCCTTGGCTTTGAACTGGAAGGTTGGGTGTCGGAACCCAGCCGGCTGCTCTGGGCGATGGGATTGTGTAAAGTACAGACTAGAAAACCCATTGGGAGAGTTCTACCCCGCAGCGCTGTGAATCGACTTAACAACAAGAACAGGAACAGGATAGGAGAAACCCAAACAAACCGGGGACCTGGAGGGGCACAATCCTCAGAGGAGCCAAACCTCTCTTAGACTGTGAATGGGGAACAGTGTGAGAGAAACTTTAAAAAGTTATCAGTCCTCAGACATAGGAGATACCACTGCAAGCATAAAAACGAGACCAAGATGTTATATAAAGAGTAATATTCAGAGCCCCACCGCCAATATATGTACACATAATCATATATGATAACAGCAATAAAAAGTTCGATAAAGGAGATGGGAACAAAATGGGAAATATCCTGGGGTCTAGGGTGGGAGAAGCAAAAGGACAAATAAATAAATAAAACAAAATAAAACCACAGGGGAGAAAAGGCAATAAGCTAAAGACCCAGTCCAAGAGGTCCAACATCAAAAACAAGAGGTTCAAACAGAATGGAAACAATTAGGAAAGAGGGAATCATCAGCAAAATAACTCAAGAACGTTTCGCCAGGTTGATCTGCAGGGATTTCCACACTGCCAGGGCCCAGTGAGAGGCCAGTTCACAATGACCCTACAGGACCGAGCAGGACTGCCCCCACAGGGTTCCTGACACTGTAAATCGCACCAAGGTGAAGTTGCAGGGCGCAGGAGGCAAACCATAATCCCAAGCTTCGAGAGAGAACAACACTCACAAAGGGCCAAGAATCAATATATATTTGGAATTTCAACAGTAACAAAGGAAGCTACAAGATAGTGGGGAAATCTCTTCCTATCTTAAATGGACGTTTATTTTAAACCAGAATTCTATGCTTGGTTAATAAACTCTAGACCAAGTTTGGCGTTAAAGATATGTTCAGGCATTTAATAACTAAAAAAAATTACGTTTCATTACTTCTCCTTCTCAGGAAGCTACTGGAGTTGTGCTCCTCTGGGTTGAGAAATCGACCAGGAAAGGAAAAGACGAGATACAAGGTCAGAGGAACATGAAGTGGGAGGCCCTACCAACTCGTGTGCAGTAGGCAGAGATGGCCGCAGGTCAGAGGATGAAATCGATGCACCCCTTTTTGTAGCTGAACCTCTGAAGTGGGAGATTGAAACAATTGGACAAGTTGGGCTTGCCTTAGGGATGAATAAATAAACCAAAATAATATGTCTATTACTCACTGCCGTCGTGTCGACGCCGACTCCGAGCGACCCTATGGGTTTCTGAGGCTAACTGGATCCTTTCTTCCCGCGGACCTTCCGGGAGGAATGCCGCAGTATGGCACCAGGGCTCCATAAAAGGGTTACTAGCTATCAGGAGAACAAAAGGATCCCGGTGGCACAGTGGATTAAACATTGAGCTGCTTAACCTAAAGGTTGGTAGTTCAAAACCAAGAGCTGCTCTGCAGGAGACAGATGAGGCTCAGCTCTGTGATAATTTACAGTCTCAGGACTTGTGAGGCAATTCTACTCTGTCCCATAGGGTCACTGTGAGTCTGAATCGAATGCACTGCAGTGGTTTTTAATAGAAACAAAAGGAAGAGCCCTGGCGGGGCAGTGGTTAAGTGCTTCATTGCTAACCTTGCCAACCAGAGGTTGGTTGTTTGAACCCATCAGCCTCTCCTCAGGAGAAAGATGAGGACACGGTGCGCGTTTGTCAAGGTTTACAGCCTTGGAAATCCAGTGAGGTGGTTCTACTCTGTCCGATCATAGGGTAGGAACCAACTCCCCCACAGCCACTGTGGGGTTGTTTTTGTAAGAGAAGAAAGAAAAAAACCCACTTTGCAGGAAAAGAGAAGTAATCACAGTTTACTACTTGCCTAAGATGTGAATAATATTTGCCTAGACGCAATGAAACACACAAATCTAGCAAAAGGCACAATATCTGCTGAGCAAATTGAGGAGGGAGAGCTAGAGCCTCATTTTCCATTAAATGAAGCCAGTAGCAATGCCTGCAAGGAAAAATAACACCACGAGTAAGTTACATAGAGAAATAATGGGAACCAGGAAAAAATCCGTTAAAGAAAGTGAACTGGCAGCCTTTGAAGAGAAATAACAGGTGAGAGAAAAGGGAAGATGCAGTCCCTGCTGTTTTAGTGCAAACCTAATAAGGTTTCCACATCACAGGCAAGAAGAACTGTAATAAAAGCTAAGGGGGGGAAAAGATTACCCTAAATCCAAAATTTTAGTGAATTCTGAAGAATTCACTTTTTGATCAAGGAAATAGATGTGAAAATAAATCATTTAAAATTAGTGTGCTGGGTTTAACCACGGGAGCACTGAGAACAATGGAGTACCATCAGAGGAGTGGGGAAGACATAGTACCGAATAAGAAGAAGGAAAGAAGAGGCAGATTCACGCAAAAGGCAGTTAGCAACCTATACTATATGTTAGACCCGTGCTATGCTGAATTCTTAGGGCAAAAGAGAATATTCAACTGCTAAGTGCTTACTAAAGAGAATTGGGATGAGGGAAGGGCTTTCAACACTTCTTTATTATTTTACCTGTTAAAGTCAATAAAGCCCATTTTGGGAAACAGAAAATTAAAAATGCATGTTTCACTTGGACCTTGTGTTAGGCACTTTAGGCTGAAATGCAAATGGGTACGTTTTGATCATAGACTCAGCTAATGACCATAACTGAGTGACTGTCTTTCCTCTAGAGCAGCGGTTCTCAGCCTGTGGGTCGAAACCCCTTTGGGGGTCAAATGACCCTTTCACGGGGTTTCCCTAAGACTATCAGAAAACACATATTTCCGATGGTCCTAGGATAAGGTGACCAGATTTTAACATTGGTAAAGCGGGACAAAAGCGGGACACCATTGATAAAACTCATGTCCTGGCGAAATAGCCACATGGCAGCCAAAAATCATATACCCTAGCTTGTCGTGCATTCTTTCCAAAAATCTGGACTTTTTTAAAACACCGCGGGACGCAGGAAAAATTGTTCAAAATCGGGACGTCTGGTCACCTTATCCTAGGAACTGAGACACCGCTCCTGTATCCATCTTCAGGCGGGTCCACCCACATGCGGACATGCCCACATACGAGTACCCAGCGTGAAGATTGTTACCCATGCTACACCATGCTTCGAGACAAAATTTCATTTCTTTGTAATTAGAAATAACTATTTCACAATATATAATTACATATTGTTTTTGTGATTAATTACCATGCTTTAATTATGTTCAATTTGTCACAATGAAAATATATCCTGCGTATCAGATATTTACATGTTGATTCATAACAGTAGCAAAATGACAGTTATGGAGTAGCAACGAAAATAATTTTATGGTTGGGGGGTTACCACCACATGAGGAACTCTATTAAAGGGTCGCGGCATTAGGAAGGTTGAAAACCGCTGCTCTTAAAAAAAAGAGAGAGAGAACCACTCACTTTTCTATAGGCATCTGTGAAGAATTGGGCTACCATCTCAGAGAAGATAATTCTCTAAAATACTCACTGCCCTCAAGTTGATGCTAAGGCATAGTGACAGGATAGAACTGCCCTTGTGAGTTTCCGAGGCTATAACTCTTTATGAGAGTAGAAAGCCCCATCTTTCTCCCACAGGTTTCAAACTGCTGTTAGTGGCCCAATATGTAACCACTACACCACCAAAGAGTTTGACAGTGAATGAATACTGCATGGCGGTGGTGAAAATCACTGCAGCTGTCCATCATTGGGGTCTTAACCTATAGATGATTCATAGCCCAGATAGGTGACAGGACAAGAGTTAAGGACTGAAAAACATCAGCGGTACTTAACTGAATAATCTCAGAGGAAAGCAATATAGAACCTCACCAAGCTGCACAAATTACCTGTGATTCTCTGGACCAGATCTCTAGACATTTCAAGCCCAGCTTTTAAAAACAAAGTCTAGAAAAAACATAAGGACTTAAGATATGGGTTGTTTACTCAGGGTTGAAGTTTGGCAAAATATTAAATCTGTAAAAACTGCTAGGGTTGGGATTTGGTCAGGAAGCATGAGCTTGTAGGATATGGAGACAGCAATTAATTTTATTTTTCTTTACAAGAAGAATGAACTTGCTATAATTAGGTCTCCAGATGGGATCCTGTCTAGCGGGAGGGATAAACTGGAGCAGAGGGAAATGATGCTCGTGGATCTGCTGCAATTGAAGGAGTTTTCACAAGTGACTGAAGTGATTCTCTTCATTAAGTTAACTGGTGGCGCTGCCAGGATAAGTACTGGAACCACCAGCCGCTGTGCAGCAGAAAGATGACCCTATCTGCTCCGTAAATACTTACAGCCCCCCCCCACCCCCGGGGCATTGGGCTTGCTGGCCGTGGGTTTTGAGGTTTGCATGGTGGAAGACGTCAAAAAAGGGCCAGAAATAAGCTACATTCACAAGAGACATTCGCTGCTGTGGAAAACCTAACGCCTAGCTAAAGAACTTTGGTCCTGGTAAATCCACTCTTTGTTTTAGGAAAGTCCTGGGGTGAACAGCCCACCGTGAGCTCCTCACCCCTCCGCTGACAAGGCAGCGGGATGCATGAGCAAGTGCAGACTGGCTGGGAAGTGGCTCAGGCCAGGCCGGTGGGCGGGGCCGGAGGTGAAGAGTGGGCTCCGCCCCGGAGGAGGGACTGGTGGGCGGGGCCGACAGCGCGAAGCGGACTCCGCCCTGGGGCGGGGCCTTCTGGGCCGCGGCGCGTCGGTGCGCCGCACGTGTGCGAGCCCGGCCGGAGGCCGCTGGGAGCGTTCGGAGCTGAGGCGCGGAGCGCGCGGCTTATGCTCCTTCGCCTTTGCAGCTGGTTCTTCCGAGTGACCCCCCGGGCGGTGCGCCCGCCCCCTCGCCGCTCCGGTCGCGCTGCGCCGCGCTCCCAGGCTTCGGGTAAGTGCGCGGCCTCCCCTCGGCCGCCGGGCTCCAGGTGCAGCCCCGGGGCCCCGCCCCGAGAGGCCGCGCGGACGGGGACTGTGCCCCGGCCCGGGCTTCAGAGCCCGCGGCGCCTCCATTACGAACTGTGCCCGCGGGAGCGCGGCCGGAGCCCGCCGGGTCCTGCGCTGTGGCCCCGTTTCGCGGACGAGCTGTCCGGGTGCCGCGCGCTGCCGGCGCCCTGCGGCGCTGTCACTCCCCGAGCCGCCTCAAACTCTTCTCCGAGCTCCGGGCAGAAAAGAACATTGGCCTTTTCCCTACGCCGTTCGCAACGCCGTGTAGTGCACATAGTCCAGCCCACGTGCCTGTAGTCCTGCATTCCCTCATCGCTGTTTTTGTTTTCGACGTTTTATTTATTTTGTTGTCGTCTGGAGTGTGTGTGGCAGAGCTCACCAGTTTCTGCAAGTATAATGTCGTGGCATTGCTTAGATCTTCCGAGCCGTGCAGCCATGCTCGCCCTCCTGAGTTGTTCCTCCCGGTTAACATGCATTCGCTGCCCCCTCGGGTACCTACCTGTCTGTTCCCTCTGAGTTTGTGCGTTGTCCAGGTGGTCCCATGTAGATCTTCATAGAGCATACTGTTCAGGGAGACCTTTTTTACTCCTCAAAAATGGAAACTGGTTTCACCCTATTTTTTTTACTTTATGGGTTTTTTAAAAATTAAATAATCATTTTATTAGGGGCTC